TATCCATCCATCATTTTTGAAGACTCAGCCAAAGGTATTTCACTAAAAATGTGTGAACATGTGACTATTTCTTCTGAGTTTCACTGAACAGAAATACCTCAGTTCACTACTCACCTCTCAGAAGCATCTAACACCACCCATTACTAATAATAGTCCAATTAGCGAAAGGATTGTAAGAATGATTTGCCCTTTAACCTCACAGTAACAGTTTCATTCTATCCTCAGATACTGCTTTAATTTAAAAATACAATTAAAGCCAGGCATGGTGGTGCACACCTTTAATCCCAGCACTAGGGAGGCAGAGGCAGGAGGATCTCTGTGAGTTCAAGGCCAGCCTGGTCTACATAATGAGCTCCAGGACAGCTGGGGCTACAGGGAGACCCTGTCTCAAAAAGACAAAAAAAAAAAAATACAATTAAGTAACAGTTATGTTTTTTTCTTGGGAAAATAATGAAGATATATGGTGGTAACTTTTCATCTAAATTATACTCATGTATTGCTTGATGATAGTCATTGTATGTGTAAAAAGTCATAAACAGTGCTATGTCATCCAAGTAGCTAGAGCAATCATCAAAAAGAAAAGCATGTTGATGAGATGTAGGCTGAGGGAGACCACCACGAGTTACTCAGACAACTGTTTTTAGTCATAACAAATCCATCTACTTTAAGTACTAATTTCTATGTATTCATGCACATGTTCCAAATATTCATTATGATTTCTTTATACAATTGTATTCAGTCTTGTATTCTTGCTTTGGCACTCTTAGACGTGCTTAGGAGTACATGGTAAAATTGGTTCCATGCCCAGTAAGTTTGGCAAATACACTGGATCTCTTTACCAGAGTCACACTATAGATTAGTATGTTGACAGTCGAAGAAGCCCCACCTCAGTCTGCTCAGACTGATATAAGCGAATTCCAGATTGGGAGGCCCACAAAAAGAAAAAATTTCAGTCTTGTTGACTGGGAAATCTAAGAAGGCATCATCAGGCTCTTTTCCTGGTTCAGAGACAGCTGTCTTCTTGTGTTAATCAGACGTTGTCACTATAGCCAAATACCTAACAATACAAGCATAAGGGGAAAAAAAATTTCTTTTAGCAGAGAATTTATTTTGGTTCAGTCTGAGTCTTGGTCTATGTTTGCTTGGCTCCACTAATTCTGGGCTTATGTTGAGGTAGGACATCGTAATGGAGAGTGTGTGGTGGAGCAGAGCTGCTCACCTCATGGCAGACAAGGAAGCAGAGACAAAGGGGCTGGGGGACCAGGTATGTCTTTCTAGAGCATGTCTACAGTGAGATAATAATCCAGTTGGACCCAGCTCCCAAATGCCATGTTAAGTGCCCATCAAGTGAATAATCCATTAATTAGATCACAGTTTGCATGAGCTAATCACTTCTCAATAGCACCAGCTGAGGACAAGCCTTCAACACATGAGCCTTTTGGGCTCTTCATATATACATTACTCTAACCCCACCTAAGAAGGTCCAGTGAAAGCTCTCTCTGGCTTCTTTTATAAGGGTGCCAATTACACTCAAGAGGGCTCTCCTCTGTAACTACCTCCAAAAGGCCATTCCTAATGTCATTATCTAGGAGATGAGGATCTCATCACATGAATTTTAGAAGGACATAAATATCCACATCACAGTATCACCTGTAAAGTACCATATTTAACAAGGTTTGAACATAGCAGATTTGTTTGAACAATCTCTTAAGCATCACTGTTTGCACAGCATGCTTAGTAACATCCTGTAGCACATCACTCTGAAGAGCAAGTGGCTCCTACAATGGTGGAATCACACAAAATGTTACTAAAATGCCCATGCTAAAATTGTTATCCAGAAATGGTCTCATTATAAACTTTCCCAAATAATTCTATTAAGAGCACTTAATTGTGCTATGTCATTGTTTTAAATCAGTTCCAATCAGGCACACCCCAACTTTGTGAGATCTTTGTGAACAGAAGCTACGGTTCTGGGTAAGCTGGGAAGACTTGGCCAGCAGGCACCCTTAGGTCTCTGCTTGGTATGCAAACTGTTCTTCCCTACACACACCAAAGGTGGCTGTACTGTGAGAATGAATGCTGTCTCTTCTCAACTCTACTCCTCTATCATGCTGCAGTATCTGCACTGAGATTTTTCTAGGCATAATCCCTTTTTTCCTGCAGTTGATTCCATGGTCTGAAGAAAAAGCTGCTTCTGTCAATTATTTACCCAGGAAAGAGCAAGGGTTTCCAAAGCAGTTCCTCCACAATTTGACATAATTAAACTTGGGCCCATTGCTCCTCCCATTTCCCCCTATCTCAGCTGGAAAATTTCTCCAAGACTCCTGGGCTGTGTTTTTTCCAATTCTCTCCCAACCAAATTTCTTCTGCTTTCTGCCAGTCTGTAATCTCTCAGAACTTCTGGCTTTTATTTCCAACATTTATGGCTTCATTCTTATATTTTCTGACATTTCATGAAGGTCAAGAAGAAAACCTTGACTATATTCACCTGACAACACAGAACTAAAGTACCTGCAGTAACACAATGAATATACAAATATGAGGGCTAGGAAGACAGCTCAGCGGGTAAAGGCATTTGCCACTAAGTCTGCTGACCCAAGCCTAACTCCCAGCACCCACATGGTGATAATAGAGCACCAACTCATACAAGTTGACTTCTGACCTACGCACATAAGCACATGCACACACAAAGCTTCTTACATAACCCCTTACATGTGTTTTGCCTGCATGTATATCAGTGTACCATAAGCATGCAAAGCCTGCAAAGAGGGCACTGGCTCCCCTGGAACAAGCTTCAAATGGCTGTTAGCTGTCATGTAGGTGCTGGGAACTGAACCTGGGTCCTCTGCAAGAATAGCCAGTGCTCTTAACTGCACTCTCCAGCTCCAGTGGTCCTCATTTTTTAGGAAAATATGAACATTTTAGGGGGGGAGCTTTTTGAGATGGTCTCCCTGTAGCCTTAGGTGGCCTGGCACTCGCTATGTAGACCAGGCTGGCCTGGATCTCACAGAGATCTGCCTGCCCCTGCCTCTGCCTCCCCAGGGCTGGGACTAAAGGCGTGCATCACCATGCTGGGCAGAAAATACAAATTCTTAATTAGCTGATTTGAATTCTGATAGAACTAATCTTATTATAGGTATATGCCTAGAGAATTAAATTCAAGAAATACTTAACCCAGTGCATAAGTTACTTTACCCAGAAGGAAAAAAAATTACTTTGCTAAGACTTTGTGTACAAAGTACAGATTAAGCTATTTTAGTGCTCATTTCTCTAAACACAGAATTTTCCCATTTTCTATCTTTATACATTCAATCTACACAAGCCATAAAATAATTTATTAGGGAAACAATGAGTCATCTAATTCCCAACTGCTTATATACCAAATGACTCTATACATAGTATATCTTAACTTCTCTATTCTGCCTGTCACAACCCCAATACTTTCTCTTCAACATGAATACACATAGAGGCCAATGAAATGGCTCAAGCAGATAGAGGTCTGCATGAAGGCTTGATAACCTGATTTTGATCCCTGTATCCCACAAGGTAGCAAGAGAGAACTCCTAAGAGTTGTCCTCTGATCTCCACACTTGCACAGTGGGAAATCATGTCCTGCACACACACACACACACACACACACACACACACACACACACTGGAAGTTGAGGCCAGGCTAAAAAGAAATTCACTTACATACCTTGAAATATTATCTAAGCATCCTTGATAATGTATACCAATTTTATATGATTCAATGTTCATTTCTCCTTGAAGAAGGTCTATCAAATAGTGAAGATTTTTTTAAAGAGGACCAAAATAAATACTCAGAATTCAGGATGGAGTCAAATGAACATAACCATGCCTTGGAAAAGGGAGGGAATGCATGCTAACAATAAAAAGTAATGCAACCGCCAGGTGTGGTGGCATATGCCTTTAGTCCCACCACTTGGGAGGCAGAGGCAGGCAAATCACTGTGAGCTCACGGCCAGCCTGGTCTACATAGTGAGTTCAGGTCTGCTGGGACTACAGGGAGACCCTGTCTCAAAAAGACAAAACAAAATAATACAACCTTTGTTAATGCTTATTTGAAAAATGAGGTACTGACTCATTTAAAAGGCTATGTATAGACCCGGGTGTGGTGGCACACGCCTTTAATACCAGTATTCAGGAGGCAGAGGCAGGCAGATCTCTGAGTTCAAGGCCAGCCTGGTCTACATGGTAAGATCCAGGCCAGCTGGAGCTACTGGGAGACTCTGTCTCAAAAAAAACCAAAAACAAAACAAACACAAAAAGGTTAAGTATGATTCTTGGCCCAACAATCAAGATGTGGCTATAAAGTACATGAATTCCATTTTAGCAAATATTCTTGAAATGGGACTGGGGAGATGGCACAGCAGGTAAAGCACTGGAACTTGAGTTCAGGTCCCCAGCACCTACTTTATAAAAAATCAGGCCGTGGCACTCACCTGGAAACTCAGCACTGGGGAGTGGGGGGTGGGGGCTGAGACAGGAGGATCCTGGGGGATTGCTGAACAGCCAGTCTAGGCGAAATAGCGAAACACCAGGTTCAGCTCAAATAAGGTGGAAGACATCCAGACATCCTCTGGCTTCCACATACACAGTCACAAACAAATGTACCTGTACACCCATGTGCATGTACGTAACACGATATTCTCAAAGGGTGGTCTAGGGATGTAGTTTAATGGTAGAATGCTGGCCTGACATACATGAGAAAGCAGATTCATCCCTAGCAGTGCAATAAAAAAAAGGGGGGCGGGGTGGAATAATGTGATTACAGCTTTATGCAAAAATCTTTTTTTCAACCAAGACCTAATTAGGAAAGACCTAGTGGCAGGACAATTGCTCTAAAGCAAGGTCCTGTCAGAGCTTTCAGGCTACACAACAAAACTTCAAGGAGAATATGGCCCATGATCACCATATGCCCCACTGCTTATACATCCTCTATCCCACAGAATTGCATAATAAAATGACAACAAAAACAATCAGGTTGTAAATATTTATATTTTTCTCACTCACACACAATATTGCATGAGACATTACTAGTTTTAATATGCATCCATAGGATTAATACTCATATGGAGTATGTGGAAAAGTGCAGAACTAAAGAAATAACTCTAACAACAAAAAAGCACACATTTCTCAGGATTTAAAAATATTGCACATAACAAGGTTGCACAGAAATTACTGGCTGCTTTTACAAAAAGAATGAGGTATTAGTCAATCTCTAGTTAAAGACAAGTGCAAACAGGAACTCCACACACAAACCACATAAATTCATAATAAGACTTAGAGAGTCAACAAGCTAAGAAAGAAATGTAAAAAGATGTTTAAATAGCTATGATTTTGGTCCTACAAAATCATTAGCCAGGGACTAAACACACAATCTCTTGGCAATATTTAAGTTTTCAACTTTTTTCAGCATAACTATGAGCAATACAATCATTTCTTTATACCAATTCTATCATAGAAAAGGCATCATTTGGTGGTAAATATCAAATATCAAACCACCACTTTCTAAAATTTTCAGTGGCAATTAACCAGGCACTGGTCTCCCTCACTGAATGACTCAACTAGTTTCATATACATTTAGCAACCCAAATCACAGATGCTACAGAGCATGCAATTTTAAATTAGCAAAGGTTTCACTGCAAAAATTATTCAAGATCACACAATTTACGTCTACAGTAACGTTCAAAGTTTAATCTTTAAATATTTAATCAGGCAAACTGACTCTTTTGCCTTTGGAGGTTTTGCTTGTTTTGTTGGCCAAATTAATGAGCCCAAGGACAAGTAAAGGGGGAGAAAAAGATTTTTTTTTTTTTTAAAGAAACTTTTCTAATCAGGAAAATTAATCGTTAGACTTGTGTACAAACTGAATGTGGTTGAATTTGTCAAAACAATTTAAATATATGTAATAGCACTATCAAACTGCTTAAAGTAAATGAAATCATGCATTTGTCAAAACAGTTAACAGAAAACTGTTTCTGTATCAAACATGTGGGCTTAGAGAAAAGAAAAAGAACCACTATTGTCCTGAACAGTCAGTGTATGTAGTAACCATATTTCCTCTTCGTTGAGTGACAGTCCTACAGTGCTTGCTAGATCCATGAAATCTATTTTCAGTCTGTACTGTGTGTTGATTAGTGCTATCAAAGCCACTAAAAGAAAACATTTTCTCCATATCTTCAAACATGTCATCAAACAATCCACCTCCAAAGGAAAACTCCTGGAAATGATGCCTTTGCCTACTGGAACCATCCTGGCGTGTCTGGAAGTGATTTTCAAAATGCTTCTTAGAACGAGTGTTTTGTTGGTTCTGGCCAAAAAAATTAAAGTCTTTAAATAAGTCATCAAAGTTGAAGTTAAATGACTGCTCAAAAGGACTTCCACCTCTCTGTCCTTTGCCATTAGTAAAAGCACTGTGTCCAACTGCATCATATTCTTTCCGCCTATTAGCATCTGAGAGCGTTTCATATGCTGAAAGAGAGGAAAACCTCTTAGTCACTGAAGGTAATATATTCAGCATTACATAGATTCAAACTTCTTCAAATATGATTTCAACTATTTCAGAGAATTTCACAGCACAAGAATTAAGCTAAAATGTCAGTTCTTAAACAACTCAGGGACTTAGTCTTATTCACTGCCATATTATCACTAGTTAGAACACTATCTCTACAAAACAACAGGTAATTATTTGGTAAATGAATATGCCGTATCTGATATCACCAGATGTAATACTTAGTAGTAAAGTAGTTTCCTAAGTCAGTTGTCAAGAATTTGGGCTAAAATTCCTTCTTATACATAGAAAGTGATTTCATAAATAAAAATAATACTGGGCTGGAGAGATGGCTCAGTGGTTAAGAACATTGACTGCTCTTGCAGAGGACCCGGGTTCAATTCCCAGCACCCACATGGCAGCTACAAACTGTCCTTAACTCCAGCTCCAGGGGAATCTGAAGCCCTCTTCTGACCCCCATGGCATTGCACAACACGGGTGCATTCACATACATGCAGGCAACACACTCATATGCAAAATAAATAAATATTTTTAAAAATTAAATAAGATATTTTCAATATTTTAAGACCTGTTCATCTATTCATCTAGGAACCAAGTATTCTAACAAACAATTACAGAATCTAAATCACACTTACCTTCCCATCTCCATACAATATTCAAAAGCATACAGAATTCTGAGTTGTCATTCTCACTATACCCAAAAGACCTCAGAAAGTCTTTACCTACCTTCTGCAATCTCTCTGAATTTTGCTTCAGCATCAGGACTCTTATTTTTGTCAGGGTGGTACTTCATGGCTAATTTATGAAAGGCCTTCTTGATTTGGCGCTCTGATGCAGATTTTGGCACACCTAAGATATCATAGTAGCTTTTTGAGGCTAGGATTAATTCTGTTATCATTAAAATGCAGATTGCAAAGACGAAAACTGACTGGGGTGTAGCCATCTCTAATATCCTAAAAAAGAAAGGAAAAAAAAATTTTTACCCAAGAACAAATCTTAAGACTTTCCTTTAAAAAAAAAAAAAATTGACATAACAGACAAACTTAAGGTAGTATCAAAATGTTCTTCATACAGTGTTTTATACTTGTTCTATTATGCTGCCAGCATTTGGAATATTAAAGTCTATTTGCAGTCTCTTGCTTATCTGCTACTTTCTTAGGAAGGGAAGAGCTCTACTGGTAATGAACTTTTTGCTTGCCTATAATATTAAAGATATTATTAACCCTTCAGATTTTTTTTTATAAGACAGCATCTCCATAAGAACCTGGCCTAGAGCTCTAGATCTTCCTCAGCTCTGTCTCTACTACATGTAACTTCAAAATATGAATTCTTTAAAGGAAAATTGTAAAATACTGGTATTTCTACTTTTCTTTCTTTTCCATGTTTGCATAAGTCTTCAATATTGGATAAAATCAATTATTGAAAAATTCTGTCCTGTGTTTGATCAGAATATTAGCAGAAAGGCAAAGGTGAAAATATTTCTCAATATGGCTGAATTCTATCTGCTCTTGAAAAGGTTAAAATATTTGAAAATTTCTTTTTTTAAAATAAATGTGGATTTCCAAATACTTAACAAATAGAGAGAAGCTGAGCATGGTGCTACACACCTTTTATCCCAGCACTTAGGAGGCAATGTTGAGTTCAAGGCCAGCCTGGTCTACAGTGAGTTCCAGGTCAGCTGGGGCTACAGGGAGACCCTGTCTCAAAAATAAAAAAATAAAAAATAAACCAAAGAGATAAATGATTTCTGCTTAAAGCTCACAATTAGTAGTTCAGATTTCTACTAAGGCTACCAGAGAAAGGAAGTAGTCTGACAGTTTATACTTAAGATTATCTAAAGTTAGTGTCTTAGATATTCCAAACCTCTCAGCAGTTAAACTGCTTCTCTTTAAAACACTAAAAAGTTTTAAATTAGCTTTTTTTCCCCCGTCTTATTGAGACAGAGTCTCCCTGCGGCCCCAGCTAGATCTGCCTGTCTCTGCCACCCTAAAGCTGGGTAAGGCTGCGCTACCACGCCCAGCCTAAATTTGAATTCTGGATTTGGAATTCGGCATGAAGTATTTACACCTTTATTTATTGGCTTTTCTGACTACTGTACCCCCAGGAGTCCTTAATAGCCCATGATGACATAACAAGGCTGACGAAAGGCACTAAGGTTTGTGGAAACTGCCTGCCTTCCTCTCCTGTGGCCTTTCTGGGTGTAATTAGCAGGTACATTACTTTTTTTCCTGGGCATTACTCATAGTCATGGTACCAACGATCAAGTACAACCTCTTGCTATAATACACAACGATCCGGTCGGTGGCCGCCACACCGGCTGCAAGTCACTCGCCAAAGGGCAGGTCTAGAACTGACTAGAAAGGCACCTTGCGAGCCGGACGGCCCCAGGATCGCGCTTCAAGGGGTACCTCTGACGTCCGAGGAGCTCGCTTCTCCCCGAGAGTGAGGAACGCCCTCCCGGCCCCCGCCGCGAGTTCAGCCTCCACCTAGAGCCCGGCCCGCGTGTCCCGGCCTGCCCTCGGGCCCAACCCACCCAGCGCGGTGGACGCTTCGGCCACCTCCTGACACCTTCCTTTCGCGGGCCAAAGCCGCCGCGTTGCCGGCGCAGACACAAAGCGGGACCCGACTCCGGGGACCGCCGAGCCCCACGCCGCGCGGCTCAGTCCTCACCCCGCGCCGGGGCTGCAGCTCCTCCTCACCCTCAGCGGCGCGGCTGACCACGGCTCCCTCACCCCGGCCTCGGCGGCTGCCGCTCGCTCTCCGGCCTCTCCTCCCGCGTCCACAAGGCCACCAACCTGCTCAGCCCGCTCCTGACTGGCGGGCGTCCGTTGCAGGCACCACCACCTGACGAGAAGACCTACACGAAACGCTTCCCCATTGGCTCCCGCCTGCCCACCTGACCTTGGCGCCCTAAGCGCACGTGGAAAACTGTTGTTGCCGTTCTGTCTGAGCGTCACTTCCGGCGCCAACCCTCCAGGAGGCGGTGCTGAGGCGGAAGTGAGTGGAAGAATCTGGCATCCGGCTGGCAGCAGGCTGTCGCGCAGGCGCAATAGCGCGCAGGGCTTAGGCTTGCGGCCCCGGCCTAAGGCGTACCCGCCTGCACCTCCTGCTGGCCTAGCTAAGACCTGGGTCTCGCACTGGCGATCCCTCGCTACTGCGCTGCAGTTTGCTGCAAGAACCGCAGGGGTTGTAACAATAAAAACCGAAAGTTGAGCTTTTATCCGTAAGTTACCCCTGAGCAGAAGCCTCAGTCTGTCCTTCAGGCCGTGCGTCTGCGCCCTGTGGAACCCGGGCCTGGATCTGTCACCTGTTGAATAAATATATTCAAAAAGTCCTCATAAGAACGAGTATGCCCTTAGTTACCGGGACGCGGCTGGTCACTGCGCAGAGGACTTGAGGAGGCTCAAAAGCACTGTAGTTTTGACCCCAGCTCACTGACACTGGCCTGTTTGATTTAAGATAAGGTTAAGTTTGCCGTGGTGCTCAGGCCCATGCAGAGCCCTTTCCTCATTTCCCCAGCCAGCATTAAGCACGTTTTAAGGTACACCAGTTTCCCCTAGTGGGAGGGTGAGGTTCCTGGGAGGTTGGTCGCACAAGTAAACTATACTCCCATTTTTCTTCTGAGAAAACTGAGGCAATGAAAAAAAAGATAGCAACCTTGAAGATTCTGCCAGAACTGGAATTGGAACCTGTGACCTCTTAGGGGTGTATATACTCTTCTACTAGTATAGATAAATTTATTCTGTATGACAGTACGGAATATTTCAGTGAAAATATGTCAGTACTTTTTTTATTCAGAAGACCAAGCAGTGTTGTGTCAGACTCCAAAGCAGGATTTACCAAGTTCAGCTCCTGGTTCCATAGCTTTGTTAACCTAATGACCTTTTGCAAATTATTTAAGCTTGGTGCCTCAGGTTCTCTTCTGTAAGACAGATTTACTGGGTAAGCAAAGCAGTACTGAGAAGGGGGTACATGCTTAAATATATACAAAAAACGTAAGTAGACTACTCCGTTACCTTTTTGTCCCCTCTTGTGTTTCAAAATGATAGATAGGAATGTTGGATAGGAATGTTGGTGAGAGCAGTTCGAGGAAGGCACCGAGGCACAGATGGAATTCTCAGAGGGATACAGCTTTATTTCGCATGGGGCACCTTTCCCTCGGGGAAGGGAAAGATGTCAGGGAAGGGAAGGGAAGGATGTCAGGGAAGGGCAGGGAAGGGAAAGATGTCAGCCCATGGGCTGTGAGCTGGGACTTTATATATGGGGGCTTTAGGGTGTAGAAGGGGGAATGTTTGAGGGAGAAATCAGGGAGGGGGAAGCAGGAAAAGCAGGTAGGATTAGGGTCTGGAAATGTTTACTTTTTCCCTCTTAAGAAAAGAGAAAAGCTGTTATGATAAACAACTTCTAAAATCTCTGGTTATCAGGTAGAATCTGCTTATCTTATCTTTGGAGATCAGAGGAAAGGCAGGCTTCTTCTCAGCAGAGTTTGTTTCCCTTGACTTCAAAGGTCAAGGTGAGGTCCCTGTTGGGGAGGGGGGAAACTGCTGCTAGTTGGAATCCTAACACAAAATAATTTCAAGTAGCGCTAACGTGATTGCTGTTAGCTGTTAGCTCAATTTTCACTGCTTTGTGGATACTCTAGTCCTGTTGTGATCATTCAAGAAAAAATGTTGATAAATACAAATAACTCACATGACATGGTAATAGTCCTATGATTATTTTCCTTGAGTACCTTCCACAGATACAGGATGATATTTAAGAGGAAAGGGAAAAAAATATAATTCATGGGCAGTTGAAAGACTGTCACCATATGAATGGTCCTAGCTCTGAGAAGATTTCTTGATCTTCTTGATCCAATATTTTCCAGACTTATTTGGCTGATTTGAAGGGCCAAATTCAGACTTAAAAAATTGTGGATATTAAATAAATCATTTTTAAAAATTAAAAAAAAATTGTGGACCACAAAGGTATTAATTTTTTTTTTTTTTTTTTTTTTTTTTTTTTTTTTTGAGACAGGGTCTCCCTGCAGCCCAAACTGGCCTGGAACTCACTATGTAGACCAGGCTGACCTCGAACTCACAGAGATCTGCTGGGATTACAGGTGTGTGCCTCCACACCCAGCCACAAAGGTACTAATTTTAAGGAGAAAAAAATATCAAAGGAGCTAGGCGTGGTGGTGCAAGCCTTTCATACCAGCACTTGGGAGCCAGAGGCAGGCAGATCTCTGATTTCAAGGTCAGCCTGGTCTACATATTGAGACTGCCTCAAAAAAGCAGTGTGAGAATGTGTGGGTGTGGGTATGGGTGTATGTATCAAAGGAATTATTTGCTTTTTTCCAGATCTAAATTTAAACTGATTTTTGTGGGTTTTTAAATTACATGTATAATCTACAGAATAAAAAACTGAATTAGATTTATTCTCTGGTAGCACCAAACTTGAAGGCTTGAATTTGTTCATTCTACCATCATGACAAGCTGCACTCTTCAATTTATTAGAATTTAGTAATTCATTTGTATGCATTCAGTATTCATTGTATGCTCCGGGCCAGGCATGGTGGTGCACATTTTTAATCTCAGCACTCGGGATAGTAAAGCAGAAGAATTGGGAGTTCAAGGCCTGGTTGGACCACATAAGAGAAATCCTGTCTCAAAAACATTTTTGTTTTAATACTGTGACTATCTTATGCATTTGGGGGAGTTATATAAGACAGTGAAACAAAATTACTGAAACAACTGAACCAATGTTAAGATGCTGTTATTCAGGAAACATTCTAGATTTCTTAAGGATCCTGGCTAGGTATGTCACAGGAGCAGTAGAATTAAGTTACCAATAAAGATATTCACAAAGTGCATTGTTGATGGTTTGATAACTTTGCATGTAGGTACAATGGGAAAAATTTACACAGTCTACATGAATTCATATAAAATATTATAAAAGACATTTTCTCATTTTAGATGTACCAAAAGCTTGAACTCTTCCTTTTTGCCTTTAAATGCCATTTCGGGTTATGCCTATCATACTTGAAATGCAAGTTATTTATATGCACAAGACTCTGTCAGTGTTAAAAACTATTTCTTATACAGTACCCAGACTCTTCCTCTAGGGTCTTAAAAATGTACCAAAGTATAACGGAAGAGAGAAAAATGCTGCTTTCTATATAACATAACTAAATTAAGTAGGATTGTAGGGAAAGTATAACAGCTATCTTTTGCATAAAAAACTTGATATTGTAATTATGTACAAGAACACAAAATTAATATATGCCTTAGACTATGTTCTTAGAAAGTCATCAAATGAAATATAAATTACTATGAAGAATTGTTTAATATAATTTAAACCTACTAAACTAATAAAAAAATTTTGTCAGATTCTTCCATCAGTACACTTTTACCCTTTAAAATACATTTCAATATATTAGAGCCAACCATCAACTCAGATTAGTGTCAATACAGGAACAAAACATCAATCCTGTTGCCTCAGCCTGCCAAGTGCTAGGTTTACAGGGTGTGCCACCACACCTGGCTGAGTCTAAGCAATTCAGCATAGTGCTATTCTTGCATTGTGTTATTCTTTCAAAACTTGAATATTAGAGTTCCTAATCAGTTGATATAGAAAAAAACATAAACAGAAGTAGAAATGAGGCAGATGCCAGTGATAAAGAACATGGAATATTAGTAGTTTTATTCAGCTAAAGCATTTGTTTCCATTGACATCTCAAAGAAATAGTCATACAAGCTGGACATAGTAGTACATACTTATAATCCCAGCACTTGGGAGACTGAGGCAGGAGGATCATAAAATTGAGGTCTGCCTGGGCTACAGAGTAAGATTCTCATCTCAAAAAAATTAAAAATAAATAAAATAATATGTTGATACAATTTAAGTTCAACATTGCAGTTGTAGACAACAAACCATTTGACTTGTCATATATAAAATACATTTGAGTAAGAATTTATAATTTATACACAGTTGTTGCTAAGCCTAGGCAAACTGGAAATTTGAATAGATTTTATCCTTTGTAGCAGCATGTTTTACTTGGAAGCATGCTGAAGTATGTTTTACAGAGCTCTCAGACAAAAATTTTGACTACAGAGCTTAGTCCCTTACTGCAGAGATGATAAGATGGCAGTAGTTGTGGGGTTTTTTTATTGGCAGGGATGGTCACCTCACCTCGCTTCTACAACGCTTCACAAGTAGATCACCCTAGGTAAGCATGCCAGGAATTTGGCAGATTTATAAAAAATACAGCATGTTTTTCTTGTCCTTTTTTTTTTTTTTCCAGGTTTCCTCTACATGACAAAGAAAGACTTGAAAAGTGGTTAAAGAATATGAAACGAGATTCTTGGGTTCCCAGTAAATACCAGTTCCTGTGTAGTGACCATTTTACTCCTGACTCTCTTGACATCAGATGGGGTATCCGTTACTTAAAGCAAACTGCAATTCCAACAATATTTTCTGAGCCTGAAGACTCTCAGGTATTGGAGTACTGGAGAGGGGGTAACGCTGAGCAGGGTGGTGCAGTGCAGGGCAATTTGAAAGGTGATCAAGTAGAGAAAGTGAGAAAGATTTCTGTTGGGAAAACAGTCCATGAGAAAAAAACAACACTAATTTGTACTAATACAAATCTAGTAATTTCTTTAAAATATAAACTATTCTTAAAAAGGTTTAAAAAGCAAAAAATAGCCTGTACATACATACATTATTAAAATTAACTAAACTTGTTAGTTAAGCCTTGCTTACTGGTTGTTTGAAAAACCTAAAATGTTTGTCATATATTGAAAGGGCTTAATGGTTTTAAAAACTTTTAATTGATTTTTTGAAAATCCATACAATATATTTTGATCCTATTTTGATCCCCTCCCATATCTGTATCCCCTTACTAATCCCCCACCAAATTTCTGTACTCTAGCTTAATGCATTTTAACACTTAAAGGTATGTTTAAGTAGAACTTTTTTTACTTGAATAAGTTTGTTTGGCTGGTATACTACTCAGAAGTTATAGTTAGATAACACAAACTGATGAGAATAAGTCTATTTTTTTTTTCAGAATTCGAAAATACTATTTTCTAGGGAAAAGACACATCTAAAAAAAAATCTCAGAAGAAAAAATTGGCAGTTGATAAAGAAGTATGCCTAAAAACTAACTCTGAAGAATCATTTGCATCAAATGAAACAAAGAAAAATACAGGTAGCTTAGATGTGCTCCAGGAGCATGGAGAATTGCTTGATTCATCTGCCCTGGAGAAGCCATCAGCTCCTAAAGCAGAAAGTATACAAAATAACATATTAACTCTGAAACAAGATACCTTGGAAACATCAATAAATCAAGATTTAAGTGTAATTGGGTTTTGTACATCTTCTGAGAATCTAAATTCTACAGCTATTACTTTGACAACTTCAAATTCAGAAGATATCATTACCAATCATCTTCCTAATCCAAATTTCATAAATAAGTCCATGGAAACCAGATCAAGACAGGGAAATCAATTTTTCTTCAGCACAGTTGAAGAAGTAAACACAAATATAGAATCTGTTATTGCTATTTTTATACCCACAGAAATTTCTAAACCTGCAGTTAATTCTTTCATATCAACCTCAAGGGAAACTAGAGAAATGGAATTCACAGACATCATCGAGGACTCATTATATAAGGAAGTAGATCACAGTGCAGAAGTTTTACAAATTGAACATTCTTATTGCAGACAAGATGTGAATAAGGAACATCTTTGGTAAAAAGTCTCTAACCTACATTCAGAGATAACTTTTTGAACTACAAGAACAAACTCTAAGAAGATTGAAGTCTTTGGAAGCTCTGATAAGCCAGCTAAAGCAGGAAAACTGGCTATCTGAAGAAAATCTTAAGATTATAGAAAACCATTTCACAACATACCAAGTCACTATGATATGAAGAAGTTTTTAAGACTGATTTTTTTTTTTTTTTTTTTTTTGGTCTTTTTGAGACAGGGTCTCCCTGTAGCCCCAGCTGTCCTGGAACTTACTTTGTAGACCAGACTGGCCTTGAACTCACAGAGATCCGCCTACCTCTGGCTCCCAGTGCTGGGATTAAAGGTGTGCGCTACCACGCCTGGCTAAGACTGATTTTTTTATAAGCTTTTTCCAGCTAAACCAAATCACATATTAAATGGACTTTTTCCTGTAGATAAAGTTCTTAATGAACCTATAGAACACTCTAATGTTGTGAACAGCATCCTATTCTAAGCTTATTATACTAGAAGACTTGCTGGGCTGCAAAAACAGTTTTATTACTTGATAATTTTCCTATTATCGTTAAAACAGTAAGGTTTAGTTATTAAATGATGGAACAAATAGTCTAAACTGCCCAGACTAGATCAGTCCTGGTTCTACCACTGACATATAACCTGAACAGTCTACTTATCTTGAACCCCAGAGAGCTGAGGATGTAGTTCAGTGATAAGCACTTGCCTAGTTTGTGCAAGGCCTTGGATTCAATCCCCAGTACTGGGGGCAGGAGGAGAGCCTCAATCTTTAATCTGTAAAATAAGGGCACTTACAGCCAGTTATGGTGGTGCACACCTTTAATCCCAGCACTTGGGAGGCAGAGACAGGTGGATCTTTGAGAGTTTGAGGCCAGCCTGGTCTACATAGCACGCTCCAGGCTATCTGGGGCTACAGGGAGACCCTGTCTCAAAAAGACAAAAAAATAAAAATAAGAGCACTTACTATAATTAATAATCTGTTTCTTTGTAATTTCTTCCCTTTCTATTAAGATACTTAGAACATATTTTCTATAAGATGATATATACCTACATAATAGAAAAAGTTGACTAGAATTTAATATTAGATTACCTTCAATACCTTTCTTGTGTTGTTTAACCACTTGGCTATAGTTATATATCTATAATATAAAGGAAAATGCCACTAGAATTTATTCAGTGGCATTAATATAAATATTCTAATTTATTCCATTAGAATTTTATTTCAGTAGAACTCAGCTGTTAAGAGAGATTCTTTAAATTTGAAAGAACATGTATTTCTGTAGTTTATATATATATAGCTGGCCATAATAATGCAATTATTAAGTTTCTTAGCATGCTATATTTATAAAATTCTATTTATAAACCAAAAACTTGACCCTAATGAGATTAATCTTAAATATAATATTTTAGAAATTATAGTTTGTATCTATTTCTTAATATGTATGAGTTTTTTTTAATGTGTGCCTGTCACTTTTATATCCAAAAGAATAGTGTATAATACTAAAAATTATACATTCCTTCCTATGTATATTTTAGTGAAGTTTATAGGGAAGAAATTATAGATAAGTAATGATGACTTCAGCCAAAGAGAATTGGTTGTGATATAAATTAAACTGTCATTTGTATCCATATTGAATTTCAGAGAAACAAATGTTAAGCAAAAACTGTGGTAAAGCAGGAATGTGAACAGATGACAGGGTCCCTGAAAATGGCGGTCAGTACAGCTGAATATGTTACTGCCTGTGGTATTGAGCAACTTCCTGTCATGTTCTTAGCTTCCTTCTTTGTTAAATGAAAAACAGTATTATTTCAAAGGATGGTTTACAAATTCTATAATGTAACAAACGTGTGGGGACCCAGTAAATAGGAGGTGCTCAATACATATTAGTTCCTTCTGAATCACAAACAATTGTTTTGTAAATGGATGGTGATTATCTTTAATAATATTTTACTTTGTTTCTTCAAGATAATTAATTTGTATTTTTGGGCTAATGTACAAATGCTAGAGTGTTTGGGAAAACACTTGAAGTTAAGTATCCCCATGTTACATTTTGCTAATACATAATTTAAAATTAGTACTGCAAATGAAAATAACCTTATTTGGAAGTGAAAAGTCATACTAAATTCCTATTCATTTGAACTTACAAAATTTTCAGGAATAACATATTATCTAACTGTGTTTCTTTAAGATTAATAGACTAAAATAACTAAGATATTTTCTTGGTTTTGTTCTAATCAACTGAGGATGTACTTAACTTAACCTAATTAATCTCTAAGTTATATTTGCAGATTCTGGCCTGCTTCTTTTCTTCCTTGGACTACTATAGGAACCTCTTAATTAATCTTGCCCATATTCTTAACCACCCTACAGTTATAAACCATAGACTAAATAACTCTCATTCACCCACCACTTAGTTTTCTAGCTTAAAAATCTCAAATTACTTTATATTGCTTACAAAATGAAGCCAAATGTGTTTTGTCTGTGATCTGTGATTACATTCAACCTGTATTCTACCCACTCTAGATTTCTTGGCACTTCCTAAACATACTAGACAGATGTCCATCTCTGTGTCTACTTTTTTTATTCCCTAACCTCAGTGAGTCTGTTCAAAAAATACTTGGTTTAAACCGGGCGTGGTGGTGCACGCTTTTACACTCGGGAGGCAAAGGCAGGTAGATTTCTGTGAGTTCAAGGCCAGCCTGGTCTACATAGTGAGTTCCAGGACAGCTGGGGCTACAGGGAGACCCTGTCTCAAAAAGACAAAAAACAAAACAAAACAAACAAACAAAAAAAACTTAGTTTGTTGAGATTTTATCACTGTTTTTCAGTCAGAATTGTCTCTTGTCTACTTGTACAGGTCTTTTGGTTTTGGGGCCCCAGATGTTTGTTTTTTTTGTTGAGACAGAGTCTTATTATGTAGCCCAGAATAGCCTCAAACTTGGCAGTCCTTCTGCCTCAACCTCCTCAGTGCTGGCATTAGAGATAGGCATGTACCACATCCTAGCCTAGGCTTTGTTTTGTAACAGTCTCAACAGAAATTTATCTTGTGTTCTTTTTACATCATCATTTCTTGTCGTAGCTCCCTCTTTCACTAGACTGTAGGCTTTTTGAGAATTTTTTTGTTTTGTTTTGTTGTTGTTTTCTCCTGTATGTTCTTCTGTAATGTGATTTTGCTGTACCTCTATCAAGAGATGGAGTTATTTCTTCTTGAATCTCGGTAGGTTCTGTGACTGATCTGACCTGTAGAATATTGACACTGACAGTTTAAAATTTGGCCTTTCATTGGCCTGGTATCTTACATAGGTTTTAGAACACTTCTTCTGAGATGGCCAGGTGCTGTGGAAAGTGATCCCCATGAGATCATGCTGGAAAACCCCATGTCACACAAGCTCTGAAGACTGAGACAACTCATCCATAAGTATCAGCTGCTCTGAATGACATCAGTGCAGCAGAGACAAATCATCTACCTGCGTACTCTCACATTCCTTTACAAAACTGAGCACAGCTTGTTTTAAACTGATAATTTTGAAATGAAGATAACCAAACTATTCCTTGTCTGTCACCTCCTTCCTGACTGTGCTACTGTTGACCGTTTCTCCTGTAAAATAACATTGCTCTTCTTTTGTTCTTATTTCCCTAAACTCCATTCCTACTTGAACTCAAATATCATTTTTGCTTTTCTATTCTTAACATCCAAACAACTAACTGCAGGAAATGATAGAAGTGAGCAGACGATTCTAAACCCCTCAGATGGCAGTGTTAACTTTCTCTCCATTAAATTCATAACTCTACTCCAATTCCTCATACTCTTCTTTCTGCCCCCATCTGCTATCCCAAAATCTTATCACATGCTTCATAGAGAAAACCATAAACATGGACCGAATTGTGGCCTCTCCAAATTCCTGTTTTGAAGCACTAATCTCCAGCTTGCCTGTATTTGAAGATGGGGCCTTTAAAGAAGTAAAGTCAAATGAGGATGTGGGTGGGGTCCTGATACATAGGATTAGTGTATTCATGAGCAGGACCAGATAGATGCTCTCTCTCCCATGTTGGGGACACAGCAAAAAAGCATTCTTATGGAAGCCGTGGAGACCTCCTGAGAACCCCATCATGTGAGCTTGTACTTCTAGCCTCCAAATAATGAGAAAGTAATTTCTGTTGAAGCCACTCAGTCTGGTATTTTGTTGTGGCAGCCCAAGCTTAAGATTTCCATTATTCTAACTAATACACAATAGTCTAAGCTAATTCAGCTATATAATTCAAAACAGCTTTTACACAGTATTTAAAATCTAGTGGCATTAACATGAATACCTAAACAGCATTTCAAAGATCAAAAATTCTTCCCTTGTAAAAAGTTTAACAAGGTACTGCTTAATTTTAAAATGCACAATAATCTGTTGCAGATACTACTATGTCCATAAAATGTGATGTATGTCTCATATATAGTTAAAAACATACTGATTTAGGATAACCCATTACCTATGAGGAGGCAAGAAGAGAGGTTATAGTTGAGTTTATGTTTATCTTTTAAATAATTACATTAATATATTTAATAGATATCTGTCTTACTGCTCTGTTTAAATCTTCAGATTTAAATCTTACATATTTTAATTAAAATGAAAAAGGGTATGTGAGCTTTTTAATTAACTATGATGGTCATCTATGCTTAAACTTCATCCTAATAGCTTTGTAATAACTATTCTCTTATTTAAGGAGAAGGGGGTGGAGAATATTACACTCAAGTGAAGTAAAGTATTGTGGTATTCAGAGTAATGATCTCCTCCCACCAAGAAGTCCACAGCCTGATCTCCAGGATCAATGAATGTCATATGGCTGAAGGTATTCTCCAGATGCAGTTAAGGCCACAGACCTTTAGGTGGGAATTATTATTCCAGATTATCTGGGTGGACCCAATCTGATATTTGAATTGCTATAAGTGGCATGATGACTAATATGGTCAGCTTCAGAGGTGCTAGAATGACCTTAGAGATAAGCCTTGGGGCATATCTATGAGGGAGTTTCTAGATTAGGTTAATTGAGGTGGGAAGTTGCCCCCTAGGTGTGGGGGTGGCACCATTTCACAAGCAAGGTCCAAACTGAATTAAAAGTGAGGGGGCTGAAGAGATGGCTCAGGAGTTAACACTGGCTGCTCTTGCAGAGGACATAGGTTCATGATCCCAGCACCCATATGGCAGCTAACAACCATCTCTAACTCCAGTACCCAGGTGATCCAACATCCTCTTCTGACCTCCATGGGCATTGCACGACATGGGTGCACTTACATACATGCAGGCAATACATTCATACACAAAAAAAATTGTTTTAAAAAAGTGAGCTGAGCACCAGCATGACGACATACTTTGCTTTACACTGTGGGTGCAATGTGGCCACTGTCTCATGCTTCTGCCACCATGCCTTCCCAGTCCTGATGGACTATACCCTCAAACTGTTGACCAAAATAAGACCGCCCTTAAGTTGCTTTTGTCACATCAATGAGAAAAGTAACAATCCAATTGGAGAACCTTTTCTTACTAGAGAAATGCAATATGAAGAGTTAGCTGACCTTGTTAGCTTTGAAGACAGGAAGAAGAAACCAGGGCACCCCCAGCCAAAAGCTGGAAGCAGCTCTCAATTTATGCCAGCAAGGAAGTGATCATCTCAGTCCTAAAACAATCTAAATAGAATGTATAGTCTTCCCCTGGAGCCTCTGGAATGAAGCACAGTCTACCAACACCTTCTAATTTAATGAAACCTATACCTGACTTCTAAAATACTATAAGAAAATATTTATGTTTTATGCCAATATGTTTTGGGCAATTATTAACAGCCATAATAAGAAAGTAGTGCAAGTACTTAATTTGTGAGATTTAACTTTCTTTTATTCAACTTAAGTCTGCCCCTCTATACCTTAAAAGAGTATAGAGCATATACCTTAGCCTATATTGCTTAATTCACTGAGACATCTTATTGAAATACAATTAATGCTTTCTTCAGAGATTGTATTTAGTAAAATAAATGTGAAATTTATTTGTAAACTAAAAGTCTACAGAAATGTCAGATATTAACATTGTTATTTAATTTTTCTTTGTAATAATCTTAGACTAAAACTCAAAAATTGTATTTTTATTGCTGTGTTTATCCACTGAGGCATAATGTTTATAGAATAAAAGATTTGTTGCTGCCCTTCCCTCAGCAGAATAAAGGGAACTGATAGTAATCTAATATTCTGATTGTGTGGAAACCCACAGCAATAATCCATGTAGAGCTGCCGGTAGAATTTAGTTATTGTTATATGAGACAGAATAAGGCACTGATTTGCTCCTAACAACGCATTCTAAAATAAAAATATTTTCTAGGATTTGGAAGTAGTCCTTAGAAATTTGTGAACCTATTTAAAAGTGTGAATATGCCTCAGATTCAGAGTGGAAAGAAACAGGATGAATGAGGTAGATAGATGGATGAAAATGAGAAAGACTGCATTGAAGAAGAGTGTGGATGGTGGATAGAGAGAACGTAAATAAAGGGAATTTAGACAACTGTGCTTTATTAGGAATTCCTGAGGGCTCAAGGTTGTAAAAAAGAAATAATCTTCTACAGTCTTCTGAATCTCTAGACCAGGAACTCCTCCCTGTGAGGTGAGTCTGGGTTTCTTACCCTTTTACCAATAAATAGAACTGTATTACAGAAGATCTTCATCTGTTATTATCAAGAACCAAGTTAGTGTTTTGATGTGCTCCTCATCAAATCCAGATTTGTTTATATACTAAAAAAAATACTGTAAAATGAAAGAGACTCCCTCATGGCTACTGCCTCCTAAATGATAACTGTTCCACTGAGAATGGAGCAGCCAAACCACAAATTCACAAACTGGACTCCTACATTATGAACATGTAGCTTCGTACCGATATTGACTACATTCAATTTTGGAACTCCAAATTCCCAAGAGATTCAATACATCCAGCTTACACTTGTTTAAGCTAATGAAAAAAGAAAACCTATGAATGGCATCCCTGGAGTCTCACAGGCCACAGTTGCACCCAATGATAGGGTAGGAAAGGGGCACATGATACAGAACAGAGACTAGCTACCTCATTAAAGTCTTGAGACTGGGAAATTCCCCTTGAAAAGGAGGCAATGTGGGGGTAGTCAGCAATAAAATGTGAGCCATATTGTAGAGACCAAGTTAGGGGGCTAGGAACACAGGGCTGTGAGGAGACAGGATTAAAGATGATTCAAGGAGCTGCTGGCAATTGAGGCATGCTTTATTTTCCCTGGGCAAGAGCACATAGACTGCAGGGCAGGGGACACTGGGCAAGGGCACATGCCTTTGGTCCCAAAGCCATTTTGTAAGAAATCACACAAAGATGGCTTCTTGCCGAAACTGGTTATTTAACAGATTACATCTTGTTTCCTTTTGGCATCCTGGGATATCTGGTGTCTGTCATTTTGTGCTCATGGTCCTCCAGATGTCTAATATTGGCCATTTTGACCCATTCTGGCAATCATCACCATGTTGTCTAAACATATACAGACCCTGAAGGCCTTGAATCCCTACATTCCACCCCTTTTAGACTTCAGGCACTTTATTGGAACAGGCCCATAGGGACAATATATGACCTGTAAATAGGCTATACCTCCTAAGATTAGAATAGTCCATTTTAGGCTAGAGAAGATGCTATCTCGTCATTGTTTAGGGGGGTCTCTAGTTAACTGCTGCTTGGGGAATGCCTGGGCACACACTGTGCCTCCACACATAGGAGATGACATTTTAATTGCATTCTTCCCCTTTGGAAGCAAGTTCCTCTATGCACATGCTGCTTCCTGAGCTTGTAAGGGCCCACTAGGTCACTTTATTCCCAGAGAAGTAAGACCCAGGCAGTACCGGACAGGATAACATCAAAGTGAAAGTAGACCCAAAGCCAACATAGATTTGTAAACTAAACAGGTTTAATGTAAGCTACTCTCATGCCTAAACAATTCTGAAATATATCTGAAGAAAAGAAACTCTAAAATATTAATCTGGCTTAACAGTTATCTCAGAGAAACCTTATAGACAAGGAACCATCATTAATCCTAGGTGGCACATAAGTGGTTCTGTTCAAGCTCCCCAAACTTGGGTTTTTGCATATGTCCTCAGCCCAAAGTCCAGGAAATGATAAACTTAGGTTTTTAATAGTGTCGCTGTATGTACACAACAAGTGTATAATGCCTACTTAAAGATGGTGACCTTGTTTTTATCCTACATTACTAGTGTGCTGATTAGTTTTTGTCAATTTGACGCAAAGCTCTGTGAGAATATGTGAGAAGAGGGGATCTCAGTTGAGAGATTTCCTCCATCAGATTGGCCTATGGACTAGTCTGTGGGGCATTTTCATGGTTGCTAATCGATGTAGGAGGACCCAACTACTGTAGGCAGTGCCATCCCTGGGCAGGTGGGCCTGGGCTATGTAAAAAAGGTAGCAAGCTACGGGAAGCAAGCTAGCAAGCAGCTTTCCTTCTGGTCTCTGCTTGAGATCCTGCCTCCAGGATCCTACTTGAGTTCCTGCCCTGGCTTCCTTCGATGATGAAATGTAACTTGTAAGCCAAATAAACCCTCCCCAAGGTGGTTTTGATCAGTGTTTTATTATAGCAACAGAGAGCAAACTAGAACAATTAGTGAATTTATTTACTCATTCTCCCCATAAATCCAGCATCTTCTGTCAATATGAAATAAGCATTTTCTTCTATTTTAATGTTAGAATTCATTCTCTAACACAGACATCATTTTGCAAGCTTCCATTCTCTGCGTTAGCTTCCCTTTGCTTCCCATACACTAAGTCCACAGCCTCCAGGCTGCCCTGGATCCCAGAGCTTTGGGCCATGGTGTTGAACTCTGCTATTAAGTGTGTTAAAGTTGGGCTGGAGTGATGGCTAAGCTGTTAAGAACACTGGCTCTTCTTGCAGAAGACCCGGGTTTGAATCTCAGCACCCACATGGCAGCTAACAACTATCCATAACTCCAGTTCCAGGGGCTCCAACAGCCTCTTCTGTCTTCCATGGGCATTGCACGACATGGGTGCACTTATGTATGTGCAGGCAATACACGCATACACATTAAAAAAAATTTTTTTTTAAAAAATTTGTTAGAGAAGTGATAGCTTTCCTGTGTTTGAGTGTGTGTGTGTGTGTGTGTGTGTGTGTGTGTGTGTGTGTGCCCATGGAGGTCAGAAGAGGGTGTTAGGTCCCCTGGATCTAGTTACAGGCACTTGTTAGCTGCCTGTCCTGGGTGCTGGGAATTGAACTCTGGTCTTTTGCAAGAGCAGCGTCCTCTTAACCACTAAGCTGAGCTGTGCCTCCAACCCATTTTTTGTTTTGTTTTGTCTGAAATAGAGTCTCATGTAGCCAAGGCCAGTCACAAACTAGCAATATAGCCAAGGAAGACCTTAAACTCTTGATCGTCTTGCTTCTGCCTCCAGAGTGCTACAATTACAAGCACACATCACCAAACCCTGATCAGAATGGTTCTATTAAGAAAAAAATCATTTACTCTTATTGCCAGTATAGAAGTTCTGAGTCAAATATCAAGTGATACATCTCTTGTCCTTATTTACAAATAGCTTCAGTAAGGTCAGACAAGAATCTAAGCCTAAGACTATGACCATTATGTATGTATGAGTCAGTGTGACCTCAAGAAAAAGGATCCCATGTTCAGCAAAATTTTGCAGGTACTTTCTTTTCACCTGCTTAGAATCTATTTCTCTTTTCTCTAGTAGCAGTTTGCCAAACCTCATCTTTTCAGGCATTATGATAAACGATTTTGGTCACTGATGTATACATTTCAAAAGGACTTGGTTGCATATACACAAGAAAAGGAAACAAAATACATGCTTTGTAAAATAGAACTGACAGATTCTAAAATGTATGAAATACATTTAAAGGCATATTTTGTTTTTTATTTATTTACTTTTTATTGTTAAGACAGGCTCTCATTATGTAGCCCCGGCTGGCCTGGAACTCTCTGTGTTCACCAGGTTGGCCTCAAACTCACTGAAATCCACCTGCTTCTCTAGGGCTGATATTAAAGGCATGTATTTTAAACACCTATATTTTAACTTAAATAATTTAATTGAAATGTGCATATAGACTATGGCAATGACCTAAATAAACAAATGGAAATTAGCAACTTTGAGGAAGCAGAGATTATATAGGCAGAAGAAAACTTAGAGAAAAGGAGCC